GTTCGGTTTAGTGAAGTGATGAATTTCGGGGTCCTTACGTGGGAAAAAACATCACTTCACTAATCTGGGGCCCCTGGGGCCTCAGTGGGCCCTGGGGCCCAAAATTAGTGAAGTGATGGTTTTCGGGCCTCGGACCAATGAGCTCCCAGAAGTGAAGTTCGGGGGTGTCATATGTCACATCTGACATGTGACGGCGTTCCTCTTAGTTCTCCTCCTGCCCACCCTCATCAGCATCCTCATCGTCATCGCCAAGATCGTTTTCATCATCTTGCTCATCATCGTCTTCGTCATGTCGTCGTTGTTATCGTCGTCATCACCATTCGAGTAGTTGCCACCCCGATGGCCACGATGGCGCGGCAGCAGTGCCTACCGCAAAGTATCTGGATTCATCGATCATCAGCTGGGCTCGTACACGAACGATAGTAAACATGCGAACATGCGAGCGCGCAGAGATTGGCCTGAAACACTTGGCCATAACCAAGACCTCCCAAACCCCAGAGGCTGACACTGCCAGAACCCCGGAACCGGGAACCCTGGAACCCCTGGGAATCTGGCCGCCTACCGACACGAGAACGAAAAATCAGGAACCTGGAACCCCCGGGAACCCGGCCGCCCACCGAAATCGGCGCCGCACATTTGCCTACTCTTTCAAGATCCGCTAGAAACCCTTCAATGCAGGCACTGATTGGGAATTCTCGGGGGCCCACTAGCCTTGGAACCCCGCCGCACACCGAAATCAGCCTGGCGCTTTCGCCAAATCCTTACAGCCTCGCCATGGACCACTTCTGGGGACAATCAAATTTAAGGTACCGATGCCCCTACTCCCCGGACCCCTCGTGGGGTGCGCTCTGACCAGACTTTCGAGGCGAACCCAACTGTGGCGACGAGGGCCTCCGAGGAGGCCCGAGAGGGGGAACACGAGGCCAGGGCAGGTGGGTACCTTCTCCTCCTCTGAGCTTCAGCGCTCGGCCGGCTCGGGGAAGCACCTTTGAAGGGGCCCTGGGACACACAAATCCATACACACACAAACAAAAGGATTCCCCATACTTTCCTATATTTTTTTTTGATGTTTTGTCTTCCAGCCCACTTCCCATATTTTCCCATATTCTCCTGGGAGTGGACGATGAATTGTGTCTCTGTGTGTGTTTGCTCCCCTCCTGAACCTTGGGGGCCCCCGAGGCCCAAAAGGCCGCAGGCGGCCCAGACCTCTGGAGGTGCGGGTGCCCTGGCCGAGAGGCCGGGCAAAAAGCGGTGCGGCTGGCGAGCCGCGCGGCCGGGCCTCTCTGCAATGCAGCCCACCTCCGGCGCGAGCCTCCTCCTCCTCCTCCTCCTCCTCCTCCTCCTCCTCCTCCTCCTCCTCCTCCTCCTCTTCCTCCTCCTCCTCCTCCTCCTCCTCCTCCTCCTCCTCCTGCTCGAAGGTGACTGCGGTCTTGCAGGGCGGTCGCGCCCGTCCCTGCACGGAGCTGCGAACGGCGAGGGCATTGGGTGCAGAAACCTTCGATCGGGACTACATCGGGAGCGGCCAAAGAGGGGGGTGTCCAAAGAGGGGGGGTGCAGATCATGACCGGCGGCATGTGCGCGGCCCAGCGGGGCGGGGGGGGCCAGGGACGTAATGAGCTAAGAAGAGGCGCCATGAAATCTGGGGAAATATCATGGCCCACGCCATGATATCCACCCCCCCCCTAGTCATCACCCCCCGCTATTCCGCTCCTGAATACAGGGTCTGGGAGCCGGTGGGAAGCTAACTGGAGGCTCGGCCATGGACATCCCCGTCGCCCTCGTCAAAGAAGAAATCCTCCAGGGTCTGGGGCTCAGGCCTCCTGGGCGCACTCCTCCACGAAGGCCCCCACCGATTACTCCTCCCGGGAGAGCGCGAGCCAACGGAGACAGACACCTCGCCGCCCGGTGTCGTGTCGCACCCCGCCGTGAAGGGCCGCCCCGTTTGCCCAGCCTCTGGATTGGGGCACCCGAGCACCTCGGCGTGCCCCACGCCCGAGTGCGCGTCCGTCAGGAGCGCGCCCAGAAGCTCCAGGGCCGCCAGGAGCAGCACCACCGTGGGGAGCTTTGCGAGGAAGGGCGGGCCGTCCAGGAGAGCGTTGGAAACGCTGCCCGCGCGGGAGCGCAGCGCGGACGCTGCAGTTAGGAAATGATCACGATGCCTGATCAAAGAGAGAGTCATGCTACTTGATTGGAGGACTCCTAGATGGGGTCCGGACAGCTGTGGTCGGAAGATCACGCCGCATCGCCGACGCATCGGCGATGCATCGGCAACGTCGGCAATGCATCGGTGACGTCGGCGTGGAGAAAATCTGACTCCACATCGAGCCGCATCGCCGATCCAACGGCGATAGGGTGCGAGCTTCCGATCCTAACTGCTCCAACCCCACTTAGGAGGACTAGATGATTGTGGTGATGTGGTGCCGTGCAGGGCCGGCGAGTGTTGCCCACCTCAGCATGGACGGCTACGAGGAGGAGGAGGAGGAGGAGGAGGAGGAGGAGGTGGAGGAGGAGGGAGTAACAAAATCGCAAGGAACGAACGAGCAAGAGACGGGTTAGGAAGAGGAGAGCGGCGTTGAGAACGAGCAGAAAACCAAAATGGACAATCCGCCACCGTGCCTGCACGGAGAAGACGAGTTCGGATACTCGACTGCTGCCTGGAAGGTTTCTGTTGCGTTTTCTAGGGCCCCTCCCCCCCCCACGCACCGCGCACCACTCAACAAAACGCCCCCCCATGAATTTGCTTTCCGGCGCTCTTTTCTGCCTCCAGACGGCGAGGACGACCCTCAGGACGGCTTCCAAGACAGCCACGATGACACCAACACCACAAGACGGCTCAAGAGGGTTCCAACAGAGGAGGCTCTGAGGAGGCGAAAACATGGATTTCCTAATGGTTTCTGACGGGTTCTGCCGGTCTGCCATTCGCACCTGCTTGGGTCCCCGACTGCCCAGGCCGGCCCAAGAGACCTCCAAGATGACTCCAAGATGATCCACGGGGCCCCCAATGAGAACCCCGAGTCGGCCCCCAAGAGGGCCCCCAAGATCGCCCAAGAGCCTCCCAGGATCGGGCCGGGCGACGAAAGGGGGGGATAGCAAAGGGCGGGTTTGAGAATCAGCTCACGTGGCTGATTCTCCCGGCGCCTCCAGGCGCCGGGAGGCGCGCATGTATCGAGTAATGGGCCCGGCGGCGGGGCCGAAACCAGCTGCATGCAGCAGATTTCGTAGCCCCCCCTTTCCATATCCCCCCCTTTCGTTCGGCCCGACAGGAGGACCCCAAGACGGAGCTGAAGCGCTCCAGGAGGGCACCAAGACTGCCCCGTGGTCTAAAGACGGCCCCCGAAGGCGCCAGACGGGCCAGTAGGCCCCCGAAGACGGCCTGGAGGCCCCAGGGGAGACGCCCAAGAGGCCCCAAGAGGCCCCCAAGAGGTCTTCAAGAGTCCTCCAGGAGGCCTCCAAGAGGCCCCAAGTGAGCCCCTGAGAGGCCTTCTCCTCTTTCTCTTGATTTCCGTCCTCTCCTCCTCCTCCTCCTCCTCCTTCTCCTCCTACTCCTTCTCCTCCTCCTCCTCCTCCTCCTCCTCCTCCTCCTCCTCTTTCTCCTCCTCCTCCCTACCGCGCGGACGGAGATGCAGTCGAGTTCACGACCAACTTTAGTTGAGACAGCTCGCTGAACTGCAGAGGGGCGTGAGCTCGACTTTCCCCCGGCCGCGCGGACGAAGACGAGGTCGAGTTCACGGCCCGTCCCAACTCGGACCAGTTGTCGGAACTGACCCGCTGTCTGCGACAGCCAGTTTCCTGCCTACCGCGCTGTTGCACAGGCGCGGTGGCGAGGCTTGCCGCAGGCAGCTGGACAGGACAGGACAGGACGCCGATGTCCGCGCCCGCGTGCCTCGACACGCGGCCGCGAGCCTTGACGGCGACGGCGGGGGCGTCAGAGCTCCAGAAAATGCTGAAGCCAATTCTCACTGATTGGATTCATGGCTTCATGCTCCACACGATTGGCTCCACTAGAATTATCGTGTCGGGGGCGTTTGTCGCCTCACGGACTTCGTACAGTTCCGAATCCAACAAACAACATGCGAGTGCTCGTCGAAATTCGCCGGCCCAACCGGCCAGGGCGTGCTAAGATCTCCGGTAACTGGTTAACAGTATTAACAGTATTTCTAGTTCGCGCGCGCGGGGCGGCCCCTGGGGGTCCCCCGGCGAAAAGTACCCCGACCAACGCCCGGTCGCCGCCCGACCGCCGCCCGACCGCCGCCCGACCAAGTCTACTCAGAGATGGTTTTCCTTCTGGGTGCGGCCTCTCAGGCTCCCCAGAGCGCGCTCAGAGTGCCCCAAGAGGCCCCCAAGACTGCCCAAGAGGCCCCCGAGACGCCCAAAGAGCGCTCGAAGACGCCGAAGATGACCCCAAGACGGCCCAAAAGGCCCCCAAGACAGCCCAAGAGGCCTCCAAGACGCCCCAAGAGCCTTCCAAGAGGCCTCCGAAGAGAGCCCCAAGAGGCCAAAATCGTTGATTTTCATTGGTTTTTTCTATGTTTTTTGTGTTCTGGCTTTTTCGGCTTCCGGACGCTCCAAGACGGCCCAAGAGGCCCCCAAGACCGCTCCAAGACGGCCCACGAAGCTCCCAAGACGGCGCCGAAACGACCCAAGAGAGCCCTCAAGACGGCCCAAGTGCCGCCCAAGACGGACCAAGAGGCCCCAAGACGGGCCCAAGAGGGACTCAGGAGGGATACCGAGAACTCAAAAATGGAGCCCTCCGTCCCAGAAGGCGCCCAGGAGGTCCCAAAGAGGCCCCAAGAGGCCTCCAAGAGGCCCCAAGATGTCGCCAAGAGGCCCCAGGAGACTCCCAGGAGGCCCAAAAGAAGCCCCAGAAGGCTTCAAACATGTCTCCCAGGCGCCCCCGAACGGCCTCTCAACAGACCCCAAGAGGCCCCCCAAAGAAGCATCTTGACGACGACTCTATTTCGCCCCATCGAGAGACGACCCCCAGGGAACTGCTTCACCATCAAAACTCCCCACGCAACGCGTCCGAACGACACCCGCCCCCAAGAGCGCAACATGGGCAACGAACACACAGACAAAAACCAGCGATGCCATATCACGGGCCGGCGGAATGAGCGAAGCGATTCAATAATCCAGCAGCCCCTGGTCGAATCACCACTGCCACTTAGCACATTCATACACACCTATCGGACTTACTTGAAGGATCGCCCGTTCCACCATGAAACATATTGCACGCTCTCTGCCACAAATGGGTCAAACGCATGCTGATGCCATACTGTTTCCGAATTCGTCTCTTGATAAACGTGTTTTCGGCCATTGCGGGCATGCCGAGTGTGTATTGGCATAGTTGTTCAGCAGGTGTTCGTCACTTCTACAGCAAGATAGATTGATATCCCTCGCGCGCCTAAGAATGAAGACAACATGTTTGCGTTGGCCTGATACGATTTGTTTCATTGACTGTGTGGGAGGGAAACGAGAGCCAGGTGGAGATCCCACCAGCCCTTTGGGTGTAGTAGGTGGCCCAACGATGTCTTTCTATCCTCGTCCAGCACCCTCTTCCCTTCGGGGAGGGGTACCCTCTTCCTCTCCTCCCGGAGGTTGGTTGGGTAGATTCGCGATGTGTCAGGTTGTCCTGTTCGCCAAAGATGGCTCCAAGAGGGGCCCCGGTGCTCGAGCACGGTCTCCAAGCCGGCTCAAGATAACCGACGATGGTTCAAGATAGCTTCCGACATACCTCCACGACGAGGGCCACCAGACGGTTCCAAGTGCCCTCGGAGCCCCCTAAGGTCCCCACAAGACCCCAACACCATTCAAGCACACGCATCGCAAATTGATGATGTGTGCAGTCTCGCCTTGTTGCTGCCGATGCGCTCTGGGTGCCAGCAGCGCTAGTGAGCGCAAAACGGCTGGAGGAGGAGGAGGAGGAGGAGGAGGAGGAGGAGGTTGGAGGATGGAGGAGGCGGAGGAGGAGGTTGGAGGATGGAGGAGGCGGAGGCCCCCTTGGGGACCCTGGAGGCCCTCTTGAGGCCATCTTGGAGGCTATCGATCAAGGAGAAGGAGGAGGACGAGGAGGAGGAGGAGGAGGAGGAGGAGGAGAGGGAGGGAGGAGGAGGAGGAGCAGCAGCAGCAGCAGCAGCAGGAGGAGGAATTGCCCCAAGGTGGCCGAAAACGATCCCAAGAGGGGGGCCCAGAGCGGCCCCAAGAGCGCTCGAAGATCGGCCCAAGAGCGCCCCAGGGAAGGCCCCCTAAAGACGGCTTTTTTGAAGCGCTCTTTTGAGAAGGGGCATGGCCTCCTCCTCCTCCTCCCCCTCCTCCTCCTCCTCCTCCTCCTCCTCCTCCTCCTCCTCCTCCTCGTCCTCCTCCTTCTCCTTGATCGATAGCCTCCAAGATGGCCTCAAGAGGGCCTCCAGGGTCCCCAAGGGGGCCTCAAGGGGGCCCCAAGAGCGCCCCCCCGCGGGCCCCGAGGATGGCCCGAAGAGGCCCTCCAAGGCCACCCCCTTGCTCCCGGATGTCGTTCTCTGTTCATCCTGGTTGCCCGCATCCTTCCACTACATGTGCCTCGTTCAACCCTTTTCCCGTCAACTCTCATGGGCGGGGCTTTTCAACGTGCTTGTGGGGCTACGTGAAGCGCGATCGACACTCCAGACACTTGCAACATCGAGGCAGACCAACAGGGGGATTACAAAACTCCCACCAGCCCTCTGAGCGTACGTGGTTCAGCGGATCAGCTCTTCGAAATCAGTTATTTCCCTTCGCGGGAGGGGCTTACCCTTCGGTCGGGCATGTCCCCCTACAGGCGGATTTTGGACGATATTCAAAAACTAGCCAAAAATAGTCAAACATCGTCCCCAAATGATTTATTTACTATTCTTGAATACTCTGTAGAGGGACAGGCTCGACTTGAGTTTGCCCCCCTACCCACTCCTCAGAGGTATGGGCGGGGGGGGGGAGGCGACCAGATCTGGTGCCCAGAATGGCCTCTGATGGCCCCAACATGGCCGCGGGTAGCCCCCGATGGCCTCCAAGAAGCGCCACGACAGCCCCCAAGTAGCTCGAGGCTGCCCCGGGAGCCTCCCGAGCAATTGAGCATGCCCCCGGAGGTCCGCCGCAGCAAACACTCAAACAACGGCTCAACGTGAACAGCCTCCTCGCCTTTGCGGTCACGATGAGCCTGCTCTGCGCTCCCGCATCCGCGACCCCGACCCCGAAGGACAACCTGAGAGAACTCCACGAAGAGCCAGGATGACCCTACGACTGCCCGGAATGACCCAAACATCATCCCAAAGTGCACTCGAGACAACTCGTTGATGTGACTAACCAGGCTCCAGCCGGGCGATGGCAGGACTGGGTTTAATGGGACCCGGTTTAGTGATCTGTACCGGGGACGCCCCCCCGTCCCATTCCACTGACGGGAATTGCCGCCACCCGACAGGCACCAGCTACGGCAGACCTGGCTCAGTGATTCCAATCCATATGTTGGGCTTCGGGGCCCAATCACTAACC